GCGGTGCGGGTGCAGGGCTGGGCTGGCGCGCCTTCCGCCCGGTAGCCCCTGCCACGCCAGCCCTGGAAGCATCACAGCATCCCCGACCACTTCAGGGACATCTGTCACGGGACACACGAGGAAACGGAAGCCAGCAGCGGTCAGACCCGTCCAGGGCACAGAGACAGCACCCAGGCAACCTCCAGGGTCCCCAAGCCGAGTTCCTCCTAAGCTGCGGGGGCCCGGGGAGGTGGGCTCACTGCCAGCACCGCCCCCTCTTCCTGAGTCCCACCACCCTGAGTCCCACGCCCTTCCTTCTTCCTGACTGGAAAACCAGTGTGATGGCTGGAGATGCAGGAGCCATTCTGCCACCATGAGGAGAGGGGCACCGAGAATGGCTGATCAACATGGAAGGAGGACACTGTAGTCCCCACCTTTTGTTGTGGTACCCAGGATTGAGCTCAGGGGCACAGAACCACAGAGCCACATCCCCAGCCCTGTTTTGAGTTGCTCAGGGCGTCACTAAGTGGCTGAGGCTGGCCTCCACCTTGCGATCCTCCTGCCTCAGCCTCTGGAGCTGCTGGGATGACTGGCGTGGCCCACTGTGCCCAGTTACAGACTAGAGCCCTCCAGAGCTACCCTATCTGCCTGGACTCTCTGCCCGGGAGGCCTTGCTCATGAGATAAATCCACCCCACATGCATCTTGGAGTCCAGACACGTGACACAGAGACATGGCTCAGCTACCAGCCAGGACAAGGGGGGATCTGGGACTCTCCTCCTGCCCGGCTGCTGCTGTCTGCCGGCTGAACAGCCCTCTCTGGTCCTTCACCTTGGCAGCGGACGACAGTGGCGCCCACCCAAGAGGACAGGCACAATCGGCTTAATGACAGATCTCAACAGTTTTCCACCAAGAGGAAAAGGCAGGACGGGGCTCCCCAAGACTGTGGGAGTGAGTCACATAAAGGCTGAAAATAAGCCGCGCTCCTGCCCCGCCCCAGCCCTGCCGGCACCACAGGGGCGACCAGAGGAGCGGGCAGGGCCACCCAGGTCCACTCAGGCAGGAGAGGGGGGACCCCACAGGGCCGCAGGGTGGAGCCCCGAGAGTGTGGCTGGAGTAGGGTCAGCAGCCACAGGTGGAGGACGGCTTCAGGCGTGGTGGAGCGGGGCTCCCTCTGCCTGTCCCCCAAGTCCTTGCTGCCAGCACGCGACCGACTCAAACCACAAGGGACGGCCCAGTGCTAAGCCAGGCTTCCCTACAGTTTGAGGCTGACTCGTGGGGACACAGGACCTCGGCTGGCCCTCCGCCAGGCCCCGGCTTCGCATCAGAGCAAATCAGGAGGCCAGGAAGCTGCGGTCAACTGTCAGGCCCCCCGGAGGCCTGCTGCTCTGCTCCCTGGGGCCTCACTGGGCACCCGGAGGCCAGGAGCCGAGGATGGCAGCTGAGCCGCTGGAGAGGCTGGAGCCCTCCGCCTTCGCTCCTATCCCAGCCAGCTGCCAGCCGCCTCAGCCCAGCCCTGCGCTCACGGGCGTCTTCAGAGACCCGCCATCTGCTAATTACAAGGAATGACACCAGCAAGGAAACCGCAATCAGCCATGTGCCTCACAGAGTCGGCACTAATGAGGACTTCCAGCCTCCGTCAGCACCCGCCAGAGGTCACCTGAGCCACCACCGCCAGATCTGCAAGGCCAGACGACATGCCTCCGCAGACGTGAGGTGCTGAGGCGGGGGCTCCACACCACCCTAATGAGCCGGCCCGCAAAGCCAGCGTCTGGAGTGAGGAGGATCACACGCTCAGCTGTCACCCCTCAGAAGTGTGGGGCTCCCTGAACCAGATTCTGAATCAGAGTAGTTCACAAAGCTCCATCTTTCTTTAAAAAGGGGTCTGAAAGCTGGGCGCAGTGTCATCCCAGCGGCTCAGGAGGCCGAGGCAGGAGGATCGCAAGTTGGAGGCCAGCCTCAGCCACTTAGCGAGACCCTAAGTAACTCAGGGAGACCCTGTCTCTAAATAAAATAGAAAAAGGGCTGGGGACAGGGCTCAGGGGTCGAGGGTCCCTGGGTTCAATTCTTTGTACCTTAAAAATAAATAATAAATAAATAAAGGGTCTGTAGGCTCCCTTTTTTCAAAACTAGGGTTCACAACGGCTAGGAAATGCCATTCCCCTTCTCCTTGTTCAGCGGGCCACGTGTTCGAAGCCAGCCCCCCAGCGCCAGGCCCCTCCCTGCCCACCCCACTGCACCCGTCTTCCCTGCCCACTACCAGGTGAGCACCAGGTGCCTGGTGGTGAACATGCATGAAACCACTAAGAGCAAACAGAGCCTCCCCAGCCCAATGTCTCACTGAGGTGGATCAGAACCATGAGAGACGCTGACAGCTCATCCTGCGGTTTCTGGGAAACCCAGATGGGAAGGGGCGAGACCAGCCACAGCCTCCTATGGGGCCTGGAGGCCCGAGCTGTCCTTTAGCTTCGGCTTCATGCCTCCCACACTGCATGGACTGCAGTCACTGCCGCAGGGACGTGTGGCTCTGGGCTGCCACACAGTCCAGCCCTGGCCAAGGCCCATAGGGGACACCTGGCTACTCCCAGTCTAACGGCATCACCTTCCAGCTCTGGCAATAGTCTCTTTCTTTTTTTTATCAGTCCCAGGATGAAACCCAGGGGCACTTAACCCCTGAGCCCCGTCCCCAGCCCTCTTTATGTTTTATTTAGAGACAGGGTCTTGCTGAGTTGCTGAGGGCCTCGCTAAGTTGCTCAGGCTGGCCTCCACCTTGCAATCCTCCTGCCTCAGCCTCCCAAAACACTGGGAGTAAAGGGCTGTGCCAGTGTGCCTGGTGGGCAGTATATTTTTCCTAACCACCATCCCCTCAAACACCCAGCACAGACTGTTGGAATCCCTCCCCCCAGAAGCGGCCACACAGACAGCTGGTTCTGTCCCCACCATGTCCTTGGCAGAGGGAAACAGAATACCTGCTCTCCTCAGCTAGGCAGGAGCCACCCCAGGACTGGGGCGCGCAGGATGAGGACCCTGAGAATCAGTACCTGGTGCACTTTTCAAATGGCCTGGTCCCCTTCCCTGAGGACCAGAGGGAGCTGCACCCCTGGTGCCAACGCTCCCCGGCCCTCAGGCACCCAGACAGCAAGAGGGGCCAGGAACCACTCGGGTCGGCGGCACGTGCTGCAGGAGTCGGGTCTGAGCTCCCTGCACCAGAGCTGCACGGGGGCTGCTTAGAACACAGAGCCCAGGGCACAGAGCCCAGGGCTCCAATCCAGAAGTTTCCAGTGTAAGATCCATTGTGTGCATTTTTAAGCAGTTCCCAGTTCCAGGTGAACGGCCAGGTTTCGGGGCAGGCAGAATGGAACACAGAGCAAAGCTGGACAGGTGACATGGTCTTCTGAGGGCCAGGCCAAGTTCAAGGGCCCTTTTTCCAGATCAATCCACACCACTGCAAAGCCCCCAAAGCAGCTGGCCACACAAAGGCACCCCCCGCCCCGGTCCTGGGGGTCGAACCCAAGGGCGCTCTGCCACTGAGCCACACCCCAGCCCTTTATTTTATTTTAGTTTTTGAAGACAGGGTCTCACCAAGCTGCTAAGGCTGGCTTCAAACTTGGGATCTTCCTGCCTCAGTCTCCCAAACGGCTAGAATTTGGAGACTGAAGCCAAGTGATTCTCTGAGGGGACTCCAGGTCCCCACGTCCCTCAGCCTGTCTCCCTACAGAACTGGTCAGAGGCTGAATGAATCTTGCTGGCTGCTTGCTTCTTTCCGCACCCTGAAACTGGTGCCCTGATGTGTTTGGAGAACGGGTTCACATTCATCCCGTGTCGTGGAAACATGGCGGAAGGCAAGAATAAATTGGAACCTTCCTGGCAGCGAGCGTTTAGAGCGTGTGCCTCTGCACACAGGGAGGGCACACTGTGGAAATGTATTTCTGCCCACCGCCCCACCAGAGAGGGACATTTCTATTCTGTTGAACACCGATCCACCAAGCAGGGTACCTGTCTGTCCCCTTGGTCAGTCTTGGCAACCACCCGCCAAGGCCTGGATGACCGGCCCTGGCACAGACGCAGGACCCTTGTGCCAACTAGACACCATGTCTGGTTGCCACAGCCTCCTTCCACCCTCGCGTTGGATAAAATAGATGAGAAATGCATCACAAGTTCTTTCTGGAATGTGTCATCAACTGAAAACACACGGTTCAACCAGATTTCCTGAAAACTCGGATATGATTTTCCTTTCTCCAAAAATGCATCACGCGACAGAACCAGCGACCAGGGCCAGGTGAAGGGGGAGCCCCGGGGTCTCACAGTGTCCATTTCAGGACTCAGATTCTCTCAAGGAACAGAATCCACGCCCCGGCCCTGATCTTTGAGCAAAGGTGAAGGCAAACAGGGCACGAGGACGGCCGGGTGCCTGGTAAACGGCTTCACACCCCATAGGGGCAGAATCCCGTGCTGCATGGGGCAGACTGTCTGGTGCACGGGAGCATCGTGGCCCTGGACATGGAGAGGAGGAATGGACAGTCATTAGGTGCTGCCCCCTCCATTTCTGCTTTACAGAGGTGACGAAGGGCAAGTGAAGTGCACTTGGCGCTGCATGGTGCCTCTCACCACGAGGTCCCACAGCACCAAGACGGCCTGGGTGTCCACCCGACCTTCGGAGCACCCAGAACTGGGACAGCCAGGACTCCAGACAGGCAGGTTTCCAGGGCAGGACCGGGAAGCGCCCACAGAGCCTCCGAACCCAGCCTCCACTGCTTCTCTACTGTCCTGTGCCCACGTCCCACCTCACAGCAAGGTCACCCTGCCACGCCCTACCCACCCGCTTTTCCGTCTTCCTCTCTCTGCAAACCAACCTTTCTGCTCAGCTCATCAGAAGGTTCTTTTTGTTTTACGGAACCAAGTGTGACCCAGGTCTAGCCCTGAGAAGGAAGCCACGTGGCCACAGGACGACAGAGAAAGGCGGGCGGACGTCAGGGCTACCCCAGGGTAAAAAGAAGGGGCACTTTAACAGAAATCCAGACTGCAAAAGAGCCATGCAGAAGAATCCGAGCTGACGTCATGTTCCTGACTTTCCCACGACACCCCAGGGGCTGTCTGGGGCTGTGTCCACTTTACAGATCAGAAGACCAAGGCCGTCAGACCCTACCCTGATGTGGAACCTGACCCCTCAGGAACCAGAGCCACCATGAGGCTTCCACCCGCCAGCTTCCCGACACACCTGGGAATGGAGGCGCAAAATCTGCGACTCCGCAGAGCTGCCCGTTCTGTCCCTCGGGTTCTCTGCCTTCTGTCAAGTCCAGTCCACGGCACAGCCCGTGATCCAAGAGCGGCCTGGGGTTCTGCGTGATCGGGAGAGACTACTGGGACATGAGCAGGGCCATTGTGTGGCCCGAAAAACCCGAAATATCTACTGTCTGGCTCTTTACAGGAGGAAGAAAAAAATCAACTTCTGACCTAATGGAGAGACCAAGGACAGGCCACCAGAGTCCCCCAGTCACGAAGATCCTACAGCAAACTGCCATACCACACAGCTCCTCCAAGACATCGGGACACCCCAGCTGGCCGGCGGGGTCCTCCAGAGTGGACAGAGCCCGTCCCCGTCCCTGCAGCCTGTGAGAGGCTGACCAGTGGGCTCCCAGAGAGCCTCAGAGATGCAGAGCCCTTGCTCTGCTGTGTGACTTCTGAAGAGTCAGACCTCTGAACCGTCACAGCTCCCTGCTGCCAGCCACCAGCAGTGGGCCTGGAGGAATGACCAAGAGCTGCAGGCACCACCCTCCCACTCGAGATCTGCACCCACTGACCACTCCCTGGCTGAAATCTGCTGGCCCCGCAGAGAGGCCACAGGGGCCGCACGCAGTCCTCACCCTCCAGCGTTTATCATCTAACAAGCTTCACCACAAAATGCAGGCAGGGGACGTCAGAAGGAGAGGTCATGACCTGCTGGACTCGTCCTTCTCATCACTTCAGAGAACTTGAACCCTTTGAATCCCGCGTTTTCTTAACACTGTGATCTCCAGGGTCCAAACTGGTGGCTGGCCGCTTCCTGGGGAGCCCGAGGCACGAAGGAACCTCAACAGTGACCCAAAGCCCTCTGCCAGCTGGTCAGGGCCGTGCTCTGGGTGGGAATGGTCATAGGACAATGGTCACGCCCGGGGCTGGACTCACCGACTCCCTTCTCTGAGCAGAAAGACGGGGCCCGGCTTCCTGATTGGCCACTCAAGACTTCCTAGCCCTGGGCGTTCAGAGACCAAGAGCTGGCTCGCCACCCTGGGTCCCCACCTGGCCATGCACAGGCTCTCTCACCTCTTCAAGAACAAGAAACCCCTCCCTGAGCTCCCGGTCAGCCTTCCAGAACCTTCCTTCCAGGCCCCTGCCCACGCTGCCTCTCCAGCTCCCTGCGTGAGACACCCGCGGTTCCCCCACGCCTCCGGCCAAACACCCGGTCCTCTCCCACCATCTGGCCTTCGCAGCACGTGGGCACCCTGCGTCTGCGACACCCTCTGCTCCCCTCCCCGGGCACACGTGGGCACCCTGTCTGGCGAGCTTCTGTCACTCTTCAACCTCCAGCTCACAGGCCACCTCCCTTCACAGGAGACAGGAGGTGGCCTCTGTCCTGCTCTAGGCTTCCTGTCCCCAAAGTGCGACACCTTCAGCCACATATTGTCACTTCTGAGAATGTTCCACGCTCCTAATAAACACATCTGCTCATGGACAGAGGCTGCGTCTTATTTATTTCCAGCTATTAGGAAACTAAGCCGGTGCCTGACACAGAGCAGCACCCAGAGCACACACAGATGGTGACAAAGGGACTGCTCACCCCAAAACAAAAGAGATGGAGGCTTCTGCCTCCTGTCAGGCACACTCCATCCTATGTCCCTGATAATACGTGTCAGGAGAGCAACGGGCAAGGTCGTCCTCTCCCCCAGAGCGAAGCCTCTGCAGGCCTTCATCACTGTACCCACTGGATCGCTGAAGCCCTGCGTGTCAGACTCAGAGCGACACAGCGACACATGGCGTGGCCCTCTCCTGTGTCCACCCTGAGCGTCTGGTTTGGATTCCAATCTCCACCAATTCGGAGGGAAACACAAAGCTCAGAGGCCCACTGATGGCCCATGGGCTTTGCCAGGAGCAGAACAGGGGCTGGACCAGCCTGAAAGGAACAGGAAACAGGCAGCACACGCGCGCACGCGCACAGACGCGCACACGCACTCACCCCAGCTAATTACTGCTGCGCGAGACGGGAAATGTTAACACTTTTGTCATCAGAAGGTTATAAAAATTATTACCTTTCCTTGTCATTAGTTTTATGAACTTTTCCCAATAATGAGTCAACCATTCGCTCACGCAGAAGCGGATCGCAAAATCAATATTGTGAGAGTCGCAGGCAAACACAGAGGATCTGGGGGCACACGAAATGTCAAACGGCACTCTGTGCAATCCAAGGGGGAACTGCAAAGGGGCGACAGGCCCGAGGAGGCCCGAGGAGCAGTGGGCAGCCAGCTCCTCCTGGCAGCAGCCACACCGGGGCACAAGGATAGAAGGACAGACAGTGCTCCTCACACCTGCAGACCACTGGCCCTTGGTGCCCTGCGTGCAGGCTGCCAGCCGCCGGGCCCCACAGCCTCTGTGTGGAGGTCAGAGGAGGAGGAGAGATGTCTGTGTGCTCGGGTTCGCCTCTCCATCTTGCTCCTTGGTTCTGGAATTCTCTCCGGTGAAAGCACTTGCCAGCCACACGCACCCAACAGAGCCGCTCCCTTTACAAGTGGCCCAACCTGGCTTCCTGTCTGCTGCTCCTGAGGGCTGAAGGTGACCCTGCCTCCGGCCACCTGCCACAGCATGGAGCCCTGGGAATCCCCTCCGGCGAACTGCAGCCACAAGAGTGGACTGGCGGGCCCCAGAGGGCCAAGCAGAAACCCAGGGCCCCTCACAGCCTGCGGGGCGGAGCCCGTGCACAACCCCCACCCTGGCCTCGCACCCGCCTCTGCTCTCACTTGAAACTGAGTCCCTGGGCGGGTGTTACCCGGGCTCAGCCTGGGATCTGTGCCCAGATCTAGCCTCCACAGAGGAAGCTGGGCCCTGGAATCTCAACCCCACCAGGCTCCACACGAGGGAAAACAGGAAAGCCACCAAAGGAAGCCGAGACCCCAACTCTGGGGAGAATCGGATGAGGAATGGTCGGATATGCTGGGGGAGCTGGTGCACATCTGTCATCCCAGGGGCTCAGGAGGCTGAGGCAGGAGGATCCCAAATTGGAGGCCAGCCTCAAGCACTTAAAGGGCCTAAGTGCTTAGTGAGATCCTATCTCTAAATAAAAAATAGGAAGGGCTGGGGACGGGGCCCAGTGGCAGTTCAATTCCCAGTCCCAAAACCAACCAGTCAACCAGACGCCTGGGAACGCCCACCTACGTAGTTAAGTATGATCAAGTGGAAGGGAGTCCCTCTTGTTCAACGAAGGCCATCATCCATCCAGGGCTCACGCCTGGGCAGCGGGCGGGACTGAGTAAGGAGGGGGCCTTATTGTAAAGTCACTCTTCATGAAAAAAACCCAACACAGTGCCCCCAGGGTCGTCCAAGTCTCCTCCTGCTTTACCTGTCAGAGGAGAGCTCTTGCCAGGGACAGTGCCAAGGAGGTGACGCCCAGCTTGTCTTAGCAGGTGGCAGAGGCCAGCTGTGAATCCCCTCCACTGTCATTAACACATTCCAGGTGAGAATGGCGCGCTCCCGCTCTGTAGCTGTGACTTTCCCTCTCTAGGTGACTCGTCCTGTTTGAAGCCCCCACCTGCAGGACAGGAGTTCTCTGTCCCTGGCTGTCACGCTGCCTGTGGAGGACAGCAGCCTGCCCGCCCTTCAGACGCTGTCCACAGAACCTCTGCAGCCCGTCCTGGCCCAGGCTCCCCCCACTGACGCCTCGCAGGAGGCCACTCTACACAGAGAAGGGGCCACTCCCATCGCAACACACTTCTGGGAATCCTCTGCCCAGAATCACTGAGGGCTGTTGCATGCGTTTGCTCCTGGCCTGCAACCCAGCTCTCCCCTCCCTGTCCTGTCCCGGTGTCAGACGCCACCTCTGGCTCCTTGGCAGCGCTGCCCTCCCTGTGCACTCCCAAGCTGCACCCCCCTTCCTGCCACTGAAGTGACTATAACCAATTCAGCCTCCGTCAAAGCGTCTCACTTCAGTCCCTCTCCTCCCTGGGCTGAAGATGTCGCGAGGGCCGTGGGCCTGGCTGGATCCCCAGGGGGCCCAGGCCACCCAGCATGTCTTCCGCGCCTCCTGCACCTCTGGATGCCGTGCTGTCAAGCCAGACAGCGAAGCTGCGCGCCCAGGCAGCATGGCAGGCTCCCTCCCCTCTGCCCAGTTGGTGGCACACTGGCGAGGCTGGAGCGCGAGGCCGCTGAAGCAGGCAGGACTGAGATCCTGCAGCAGCCTCCCCTCCCCTCTGTCCCAATTCTGTCTGGTCGTCCCCTTTTGCCAATGTGAAATGTGACGCTGCAGGCAGCGGGGCGCTCCTCAGCACAGTGGGCTGCAGGAGCTCTGCTGAAGGGCTCTGGGTAAGCCGCCCTTGCCCACGGAGGTGTCCGGGTGGGCACAGCCTCCCTCCTGCCGAGGGCTGTCCTGTGGCCCTGTGCCCACAGGCGGCGGCAGCCCTTACTGACTCTGAGGACAGTCAGTCTGAGCATGGCCTGGCCCTCAGGGGACAGATGGCACAGGAGGGAGAGTGGCACTGATCCGTGATGACACCAGCGAGTCACAACTGGCCACCCAGGGCTCCTGCTGCAGCCCACAGACAGAACCCTGGCGGCCTCTGGCGGGTCTGACGTGCAGGGGCAGCAGCGGGAACCCCCCTCCATGCTGGCCAGGCACCCTGCCCCTCCGGCAGGCCCAGTGTGAACACCTGAGCCCTGATCCCGATTCTGAAGGCATCTGTCCATGTCCTCTCCACGGGCCCTCAGCCCCCAGCCTCTGTCCTCACACCCACAACCAGCGCTTGACAAGTTTCAGAGATGAGAGCCACTGTCCAGTGACGCAGGGCCTTCACGTGGAGGCCTGAGGCCCACGGGGAATGAAAACACGCCACAGGCAGCACCGCACACCAGGGACAGGTGGGCCCAAGAAGCCAGGTCCCCGGTACCCTTCCACGGGGCACAGGCAGTGGATGGCATAAGCCACCAGCTCCCGACAGACCGGGCTTCCCAGAGGCTTCTGGGAAGGCTACTCACCAGCTGGGCCGACTTGGGCTTCTCGGGGTCAGTGCAGGTCTCCTCCCGGGGCGGGGGCGCCTTGAGGTGCTTGGCGGCGGCCTCGCGCTCCCTCTTCACCACCTGGAACAGCTCCTCCTGCATGGACGCCTGCTCCTGCTGGAACCTGGCCGGGGCGACAGGGCAGGCAGATGTGGGGCAGCACCGCACAACGGGGCAGGCAGCTCCGCATCCTCTGGCTGGGCCGCACTGGGGTCCGGGGGCCATGGCCAGTCGGGAGAGGAGAGGGCCACGGAACCACATGCCTGTCGTCTCGGCGACACCTCCCACGGCCACGGAAGACTGAGGCCACTCAGCCAGGACGAAACACAGCGGCCCGGGAGAGGGCAGAGACACATGGCTTCCAAGGGAAGGGGCAGGCGGGCAGGCGGGCAAGGGGGCAGCCCGTCCTTTGTTTCCACGTTTAACCCTTCACCTGGACACATGGCCACCCTGGGACCCATCTCTGGGCACTGTGCCTAGTCAACTAACCCTAGAGACAGGGGAAAGTCACAGTGACCGACGCCCTTAGAAGTGTTATTGATTATACTAGAAACAGAAAGCGAGCCACCTAAATGTCCCATAATGGAGGTCAAGTTTAATACAGTAAGGTCACACGACAGCAGGCCACGGCACCAAGGGGAAAGGCATCCTTTGATTCATTGATATTTTGAGTCTAAAAACTGAGAATTGATAAATAATCGTTGGCAATTATAATGGTTATGAAGTAGGTGTGACTAATGGAAAATAATTATGATAATAAGTGACTCTAGGAAGTGATCCTAAACTAAAGACAAGGAGGTCTGTGGCAGGGACACCAAGATATTAATCGGGGTCACACAGAGATAACGAGTCTGTGGGGATTTTTTTTTTTTCATTTCATGTATTTTCTGGATCCTTCCTGAGAAGACTTTACTTTAACATTTTAAAAATGTTTAAAAGTACCAAGGAGGTGGGTTCAGGTTGGTGATTTAGGGTCGGGGCGGATGGACTCCTGGATGTGAGATTGCTCCCCAGCTGTGCCAGCCAAGGGCAGACCTACCCAGCGTGACACTAGTCTGCAGGAGCCAGCGCTTTGGGTCCCCTGATCACACAGAGACCTGTGTACTCGAGGATATTGAAGCTGCACCGTGTGCTTGGTACGAGTGAAACAGACTGAATCGTGACAATGCCCAGGTGAAAGGGGGGTTCTCAGCCCTGCCAGACGCAGCACCTTTCCCAGGTGACAACTGGCGATCACAGGGTCAGGGTGCCAGGCTGCGCTCCAGGACCCGGGGCTTTAAGCACGTCTCCCCAAGTCCTCAAGGGAGAGCACAGGTCCGTGTCCAAGGTGCGGCCAGCTCTCAGGAGTAAGGCCTGTGCGGATGGGAGGCGGCTGACACCCTGGGGTCAATCCACCAGGTCGAACCAGGCCTCTACCTTCTTCTCACACACCCCTGTCACACGCGGGAACAGTCGCTTGACTACTTAGTCCTGGCTTTTTAAAATGGATGTTAAGAATTCATTTTTGAAAAATCAGCACTCCCCCATACTCCTTTGGAGCTCCTTTCTTAATTTTTTGGAGGTACTGAGGATTGAACCCAGGAGCACTCCACCCCTGAGCCCTGTCCCCAGCCCGATTTTGTATTTCCTTTAGAGACAGGGTCTCCCTGAGTGGCTCAGGGCCTCGCCAAGTGGCTGAGGCTGGCCTCCACCTTGCGATCCTCCTGCCTCAGCCTCCCAAGCTGCTGCGATGACAGGCCTTGTTTCTTCATCTTTAAATGAGGATCGGTGTTACCTACACCAGAGGACTGTCCTTCGACATGAATGACATGAAATATGTGACAAGAAACCTCCAGAGCTTCAGGCAAGGGCTCACCTCTTGAGATCCTCCTTCAAGGGCTGGGAGGGCTGCTGCTCACCATTGGTGTCGAACTGGGGCAGCTTGGATTCTGCAAAGAGAAGAAAAGGCAGCGCCCAGGGTCACTGAAGGCTGTGGTCACCTAAGAAAGGGGCTCAGGAGCACACCCTGTGGGTGGATGTGCACCCCTGGAACACAGCGCCCAGCAGAGAGGTGGACGTGTTCCCACAGAGGATGCCCCCGACGGCCCCGGAGCCCCTGTGGGCAGAGGGACACATCCTGGACACCAGGGTGGGCAGCCACACCCACCAAGGGGTCTCTCTGCACTGGGAGGCTGACAGTGCGGAGCTGTCGCAGCAAAGCCACCGAGTGCAGCGTCCCAAATCCATCCCCGCTCACTTGACAATTATTTGGAATCTAGGTCACCTCCTAACAAAGGCAGATGTGGCTGACAGAAGCCACCGCTCTGCTTCACAAGGACAGCCCCAGGTCTGGGTTTTGACAAG